CTTATATTAAGAATGCATGAATTCCCATTCAAGAGTTACAGGATATGCATGAAGGCCTATATCCAGCACACACACTCACACACAGGTAGTGTATATGTACAAGTACATACACAATATACACAAGTACATACAACAAAATGCACAAATATATGTACATGCACACCTATACATACATCCACACACAACAACAATACATATACATGTACAAATGTGTCTACACATACATACACCTATATATATATGTGTGACAAACTCCCCTGTCCTCGTGTGTTTGCCACAAGCTCCTGGAGGAGCCTGCTTGCCAGCCTCCTGCCCTCCGACTATGGGCCAGGTCAGCGACTGTTAAGACCCATATTTTATTCCAACTGGTTCCCCTGCTTCGGCACTTTCCATTCGTATGCATAGAAACTAACGCGAGCCCCCTGGCGGCCGTTCGCATGGATCAAAACCGCCAATATACTTCATGGGGACTTAGCCGCGAAAGCCCTGGAACTATTTTCGGCATGAAGACTTCGCGGTTCCCAGAGGCACTTAGCCGAGATTCTATGGAACTATTTTTGGCTAGGGGACCATGCGTGCGGTTGATCAAATTATGACTTCCAGGAAATTCCTGAACCCCTAAACCAATCTGGGTGGGGTTTTATGTATTTTTTATGTATTTTTAAGGTGCTTTTGGGGTGTTTAGGAAATGTGTGTGTTTTTTGCTTGGAGATAATTGAGTTTAATACCGTGCTTGACTCAATTATCTCCCAGGCACAGGGGACGGATTATCTTGTTTAGTATGGGAGTGTCCTGGACCTGAGAGCCAATGTAATCGTGTGTATGTTTTTACTGTAGTCTACTCTCACGTCTAGGGGGGAGTGCCCCTTGCATGGGGACCTGCATATAAGGCCAGTTGTGGCTGCCAATTAACGTATTCCAGCTTGTACTCCCAGAACTATGTGTCATCTGGTTACTGGGAGGGGAAAGGGCTCTTCTTTAATCACTGTTCCAGTGTGGAGGATTCAATGGGGAAAGTCCTTGTAAGGACTAGAGCTCCCAGGACTGAGTGTCATCCAGTGCCTGGGGGTGTCTAGCACAGTGGCGGATCCAGATCCAGGCACAATAACCACTACAGCTCTGTGTAGTAGTTATGGTGCCAGTAGTGCCAGGATTCCATCCCAGAGTAAGTAGTCAAACCGTTTAAGAACAGTTTGACAACTTACCTGGGGTCTGCTGGGATATAGGGCATAGGAGCAGTGGTATGTGTGAGGGGTGAAGTGTGTGTGTGTGTGAGTGTGTGTTTGTGAGCGGTGAAGTGTGTGTGGGTGAGTGTGTGAGGGAGGCAGTGTATGTCAGGGTTGCAGTGTGTGTGTTTGGGAGCAGTGTGTGTGTAAGCGGTGCAGTGTGTGTGAGAGTTGCAGTGTATGTGTGTTTGGGTCGGACAGGGCCAGATTAACCCCTTAAGGATACATGACGGAAATATCCCTTTTAATTCCAGAAGTTGTGTCCTTAAGGGGTTAAGAGCCCGGTGGGCCTGGTGCTGACATTTATGATGGGCCTATTTACAGAATCTTATCGACCAAAAACACTAAAACAATCATACCTGCCAAGCATCATGTATCTGATGGAGATGGTGTTGGAGGGAAACTCAAAGGATGCAGCTATATGAAAACATATACTCTATGCTAATCTCTCTCTAATTTATGCTTTCATCTTTCAAGTAAGTCCATATCCCCTAACAGCAGTGTCCAGTGAAGCAGGAGGTCAATGGGCAGGGTAAAAGAGTGTGCCACTGGCGCGAATCACCTGACCAGACCTGCCAAAAGGGGTGAACATCCCCAAAAAGGGGGCATGTTTGTCCAAAGAATTGGAAGGCCTGGCATGAATGCATGTAAGGCTGCCTGCCGACCATGCAGGCTGTCCAACTAAGGGCATACTATGCAGGAAGCACCGTGAGCTTGACATAAATGCATCAAATGATGCGCCTACTCCACGCTTTCTAAGGACTGTCCCCCTAGCACTCACATGTCCACTTGTCTCCTTATCATCTTACTAGCAGGCAGAAGTTCCTGGTATCTAGTCTGGGACAGAGAAAAGGTGTATGTAGTGAGTGTAGAAGAAAGGGGACATGCCACAGTGTTAGAGAGACTAAAGTCTGCATTATCTAAACTAATTTTATTGTCACCCAGTCCACACAAATTTTGTTCCCATGCATCACTCTTAAGCTTCTAAACTTAAAGGGACACTATAGTCACCAGAACAACTACAGCTTATTGTATTTGTTCTGGTAAGTAGAATTATTCCCTCCAGGCTTTTTGCAGTAAACACTGTCTTTTCAGAGAAAATAACTCTGATGGACACTCCTTAAATGGCTGCTAGAGATGCTTCCTGGGGCAGTACTGCCTAGTGTGCAGCACTGCCATTCAGTGTCTCCACCCTCTGCATGCAGACACTGAACTTTCCTCATAAAGATGCATTGAATCAATTTATCTTCATGAGGAGATGCTGATATGTTTGACTTGTGCTGGCTCTGCCCCTGATCTGCCTAGTTGACAGTCTCAGCCAATCCTATGGGGAAGCATTGTAATTTGCTCAGACTACCACTTCTGATGATGTCAGCAGACAGAGTCAGTTCAGAGGCAGACAGGGACAGAGCAAGCAGCTGCAGACTTGAATACAAGTAAGATTTTACTATATTTAGGGAGGCAAGAGAGAGCCAGGGACCTAAACATAATAAGGTCAGAAATACATGATTGTACACGCACCGACACAAATGCAGATACACAGATACAAACCCTGACACACATACATATACAGACAGGGCCGCCATCAGGGCATGACAACCGCAACGGTTGTCATGGGCCCGGCGGTCCTGGGGGGCCCGGACTGCTCAGGTCGCCCGGGCCCCACATTCAGTGGGTACATACCGGGTCGCAGGGGGACCTGCGACCCGGTATGTACCCACAGGGCCAGCCTCTTATCCTGGGGGGCCCAGCAGGGCCCCCCAGAGGCTGGCCCTGAAAGCCGGCCGGCGCGCGAGGGAGCACTCTCTGTTGGCTTCCTCTTCAGCTCCCTTGCGCACCGTACTGATGCCGGAGCCGGAAGATGACGTCATCTTCCGGC